GTGCCTGGCGTGAGTTTAAGCCACTAGGTCCAGGACTCGAACCGTGGTCGACTACGTGGGAGTCCAGCGACATAGCCATTATGCTAACAACTGATCCCATGGTTCCCTGTGTTTTAAATCTTAGACCTGGTAGCTTGTTTTTTCACTTTCTCTCTCTCTCTCACTCTGTTTCTCTCTCATGAGCACATATGCAAACTTAAAATAATGTTAATAAATAAACCTTAAAAAAAAAAAAAAGAAAGAAAATTCATCAGGCTGCATGTGCATGCATGTCCAAGATCCCAGGAGGAGAATGGAAGAAAAGGGATCGCAGCATGGCCATCTCCCCAGGGTGATTTCTCACCTTCCTTCTCATGGTCTCTTTCTGTTTCTCTCTGGTGAGCACAGGCATCTTGTGGCAAAAATGTTAAAAATAAAGTAGGGATCAGCAGATGGTGTAATGGTTACATTGCTGGACTTTCATGTAGTTAACTGCAGTTTGAGTTCTGGACCTGATGGCTTAAAATACACTGGGCATTTGTGTATGCGTGCCCAAGATCCCGAGGGGAAAAGGGAGGAGAAGGGATTGCGGTGTGGGCATCTCCCCTGGGGCTGCTTTCTTGCTTTTTGTCTCTCTGTCCCTTTGGCAAGTGAGCATGCCCTATAACAAAAATCTCCCTTAAAGTAATGTTGATGCGCCTGACATGCGTCCCCTCCAGGGTCAGGGGGAGAGAGGGAGAGTGTAATGTGAGAAAAGAGGTGACCATAACCAGAGTGACAGGGCACGGGTTATGCACCTACACCCCAGAGCCATGCAGACTGAGTTCAGATGCTAACTCTGCAGTTAACCACCTCAGTCCTCCTGACCTTCAGTTTTCTTACCCATAAAATGCAGTTAATGATGTTTTTCCCATGAGGTTGTTGGGAGGTTAAATGAGATAATACACAGAGAGAGTTTCGAGGAATTCAAAATGTTAGCTGTTGTTTTTTTCCCACTTTGTGCACTCTGACATGACTTTGCAGATGTGGTTCCCACACCTGGGCAGTTCTCACTGCTTCTCGCCTGGCTCATTCCGAAGACCCAGGTTAGCTTTCCAGCCTCGGCCCTGGACCCTGCAGCCGCCGCAACGTTGATGCCCAAGAAGAACCAGATTGCTATTTATGAACTCCTTTTTAAGGAGGGAGTAATGGTGGCCAGAAAGTATATCCATATGCCCAAGCACCCGGAGCTGGGCGGCAAGAATGTGCCCAGCCTTCACGCCATGCAGTCTTTTAAGTCTCAAGGCTACATGAAGGGGCAGTTTGCCTGGAGACATTTCTACTGGTACCTTACCAATGAGGGTATCCAGTATCAGCGCAATTACCTCCACCTGCCCCCAAAGACTGTGCCTGCCACACTGCGCCGAAGCTGTCCTGAGACTGGCTGGCCCCAACCCAAAGGTCTGGAGGGTGAGCGAACTGCAAGACTCACAGGAGGAGAAGCTGACAGAGACTCCTACAGACAGAGTGCTGTGCCCCCTGGTGCAGACAAGAAAGCCAAGGCTGGGGCCGTGTCAGCCACCAAGTTCCAGTTTAGAGGTGGATTTGATCATGGACATGGCCAGCCACCTCAGGAAAGTTTGAGGAGGTTATCTTGTGTTGAATAAACTTGTAGCCAGAAAAACCTAAAGAAAAAAAAAAAAAAAAGACCCAGGTGGGCCCTCTTCCTCTGAGAAGTCCCCATAGCCTAGTGAGTCATCCCTCCCCTACACCATGGATGCTTTGCTCAGACCTGTCCTGGCATCAGCAACCTGGGTGGTGATCGTTGGTGAGTTTCCCCAACTAGCCAAGGAATTTCTGGAGGACAGGGGATGCGTCTGAGTCATCTGTTCTCTGGTTGCCTGCCCACTCAGGGGATGCTTATGGGATGAACGGAAGGGAAGAGGAAGGAATAGGTATCAGAAATACCTCTCAGATTACTGGCTGGAGTTCAGGCCCCAGGTCTTTGGCAGTTAAAGCACAGGCCAATGTTAAAGGCATGAGTCCTATCTAAGCTAACAGAGTGTATAAGGGGGAGTGTCTGGATATAAGTGAGTGTGTCAATGTGTGTAGGCCCAGTTGCAGTGGCACAGAGATAGTGCAATGCTCTGCAATGTTGGAGCCATAGGGAAGACGGGGGTTCAATTCCCAGGTTGACCACGTGTATATCCATGATCCTGCTGGCTAGGAAAGGCTTGGGGGCGTAATCAGGGCATGAGACCCTTTTGAGGATGCTTGTCTTTATATAGCTCTCATGAAAGAAATGGATGGACTTTTTAAAAAAATGTGGTAGGGAACCAGCAGATGGCATAGTGGTTATGTCACTGGACTCCCACATGGCCAACTGTGGTTTGAGTACCAGACTGAGTGGCTTGAAAATCACGCCGGGCATGTGTGCCTAAGATCCTGGGAGGAGAATGGAGAAGGGATTGCAGCATGGCCATCCCCTTAGGGGCTGAGTTTTCATTTTCCCTCTCACTGTGTCTGTCTGTCTGTCTGTCTCTGTCTGGCAAGCACACATACCCTAAGGCAAAACCTATAAAAAAGAAAAAGTGGTAAAAAAAAAAATCCATGTGGGGCCAGCAGATTGCATGGAAGTTAAAGCAGCTGGATCCCACATGGCCAACTACGTGGTTCAAGTCCTGGCCTGACTGCTTGAAAACATGCTGGGCACATGTGCGTGTGTGCCCAAAATCCCAAGATGAGAACAGAGAAGGGTGTGCAGTGTGACCATCCCCACAGGGCTGCTTTCTCATTCTCTCTCTCTCTCTCTCACTCTTATCCTCCATCTCTGAGTGCATGCACCCTATAGCAAAAATAAATTTATAGGGGCCAGCAGGTGGAGTGGTGGTTAAGGTGCTAAATTCTCACATGGCAAACCGTGGTTCAAGCCCTGGACCTGGTGGCTTGCTTTCTCACTTTCCCTCCCTCTGGTCAAATAAAAAAATAATAATAAATAAATAAAATAATTACTTAACAAGAAAATAATAATAACAAATGGAATTAAATAAAAATTTAAAAATACATAAAATAAAAATAGAAAAAAATGTGTGTGTTTGTAGGATATGAGTGAGTAGGTATGTATGTGTTTGAACATGGTGTTCATGTGTGATGGTAGGGTGTGTGAATGAATATTGTGTGTGAGAGCTTATATGAGTGTATTTGTGTGTGTAAACATAGGCGTGTTCGTTAAATGGCACTCCAAGGTAGAGGCGCTTTGCTTTGTTCCTTTTCACATCCTTGTCCTGCACTCTCAAATGAATATGAATGGGGGGGCGGTGGCAGTAGCACAGTGGTTGCCAGCAGGGCCTCTGGAGAGAGATCACATTGATATTTCCCAATTGTGGGGAAATCAACCAATATAAGCCTGTTTTTTCATCTGTGAGATGGGTATCATTATAGCATCTACTTTATAGGGAAGTTAAAGAGCTTGGAACTTAGGAAGTACTTTGTATTAATAAATGTCCACTAGTGGGGCCAGAGGGGATATAGGGCTAAGGCCCTGGATTCCCACATGGCTGACAGTGGTTGAAGTCCCAGACCTGGCAGCTTGAAAATCACGATGGGGGAACTGGCAAGTGGCATGGTGGTTAAGGGCGCTGGACTCTCACATAGCCTACAATGGTTTGTGTCCCAGACCCGGCGGCTTGCTTTCTCACTTTCTCTCTCTTGCACTCTGTTCCTTGCTGGTCAAATTAAAATAAATTAATAAAATAAATAAAGTTAAATAAAATAATTAAAAAAAAACATGATGGACATGTGTGTGTGCAAGCCCAAAAGCCCAGGAGGAGAGTGGAAAAGAAGGGACCGTGGCTTGGCCATCCCTCCTAGGGGGCGATTTCTCACTTTCCCTCTCATTATCTCTCTGTCTCTCCCTGTATCTCTGGTGAGCATGTGCACCCTATAGCAAAAACCTAAAAGAAGGGACCAGCAAATAGTATAATGGTTACCTTGCTGGACTCCCACATAGTCGACAGGTTTGAGTCCAGGCTGGCAACTTAAAACTCACACAGGGCATGTGTGGGGGTGTGCCCAAGATTCTGAGAAGAGAATAGAGAAGAGGATTGCAGAGTGGCCATCCCATTGCCCCCGGGGTGTGGGGGGGATTTCTCACTTTCTGTTTCTCTGTCTCCCCAGCAATTGAATGTGCCCTTTAGAAAGAAAGAAGAAAGAAAGAGAGAGAGAGAGAGAGAGAGAGAGAAAGGAAGGAAGGAAGAAGGAAGGAAGGAAGGAAGGAAGGAAGGAAGGAAGGAAGGAAGAAAGAAATAAAAAGAAAACTCTTTAAAAAGGGGGGGGCAGTTGGTGGTGTGGTGGCTAAAGGGGCTGGATTGCCATGTGACTAAATGCGGTTTAAGACCCAGATCAAGCGGCTTGTTTTCTCGCTTTCCCTTTCTCTCTCTCTGTGGTCAAATTAAAAAATAATGATAACAAATGGGATTAAATGAATAAATAACCCTTTTAAAAATAAATCCTAGGAACTTATGGGAACCCAGGGTGCAGCCAGGCCTGCACCGAGGTCGATTAGGGGAAAGCATGAACACCGTCCCCCACTACCACAAATTACGCAGTCGAGTTTCCCACATTTGGGGAAATCGCAGGGTCAGCATATCCGGAGTTCAAAGGATAGACCTCACCCTGGGAAGACCATCTTTGTGATCATGGTATCTCCCCTGCCAGGAAGAAAGAGCAAGCTAAACTCAGTGTAAGCTGAAGTAGGAAGATAATTCAAAGTGAAGTGGAAATAAGTGAGTTAAAGAATTGGGAGCAGCAGATCACATAATGGTTATGTCACTGGACTCCTATGTAGTCAACCGTGATTTGAGCCCTGGACCCTGTGGCTTAAACTTCATGCCAGGTGCGTGCGCACACCCAAGATCCTGAGAGGAGAATGGGGGAGAAGGGATTGCGGTGTGGCCGTCCCCCCTGTAGGATGACTTCTCACTTTCTGTCTCTCTCTGTCTCTCTTTAAGGGCATATGCCCTATAGCAAAAAATTTCTCTCTCTAAAAAAAAAAAAAAAGAGTTAAAGAATAGAAAAACAATACAGACAATCAATGGAGCCAAAAGTTGGGTCTTTGAAAAGATCAACAAAATTACAGGGGAAAAAAAACAGACTTTTGAGGGAATACTATGATCAACCCTTTGTCAACACATTAGATAACCTATGTGAAATGGACAAATTCCTACAATATCAGGAAATTTCCTGAACCTGATAAAGGGTACCTATGAAATCTTCACCGCATAATTAATTATAAAAGACTGAAAACCTTCCCTTCATAATCAGACATAAACTACTGAAACTAACTCAGTAAGGAATAGAATATCTGAATAGACCTATAACAAGTAATGGCATTGAAATAGAAGGAAAAGATTTTAAAAAATTGAAAACTTACCCAAAGAAAATCCCAAACCTAGATGACTTTAATGATGAATCATACCAAGCATTTAAAGAAGAAATTTTTCAAAAACTCTCCAAAGCTGAAAAGAGGAAGGAATGTTTTACAACTATTTTATAAGGCCAGTATTACCATGGTATCAAAACCAAAAGTATTGCAAGAAAATAAAACTATCGACCAAAATCTCTTATGAATACAGGCACAAAAACATTCAACAAAATACTAGCAAACGGAATCCAGCAATGTATAAAAAGAATTGTACAATATGACCAAGTGGGATTTATTTTAAAAAATACAAAGTTGGTTTAACTTCTGAAAACTAGTCAATGTAATACACTATGTGACTAAAATAAAAGACAGAAAACACATGATCGTCTCAATAGAAAAAAGAGGAAGCATGTAGTAAAATTTAACACCATTTTATGATTAAAAAAAAAAAAAAAAACACTAAAAAAAAAAGTCCTAAAAAAAAACCCGCCGGTATTGTACTGAGTATCACTATCAACTCCCAGATAGTTTTAAGGATTAAAGGCCCTTTATAATACGTCGAAAGACTACTCACCAGCAGGTCTACCATACTTCTCTGAGCCTCAGCTTCTTCCATGTGAAGGAGCAACAAACTGTATTTCATGTCTCCCAGGGAGATTTCTCTGAGCTCACAATTCAAATAGGACCACTCTGTCCGGAAGGGGTTGGTCTGCCGCGCGCTGCAGCAAAGCTGGGAGCCGGGTGCCCTCTCCTGGCAGAATGAGGTAAAGGGTGACTCCACCGGGCAGGGGTTGACCTCAGAGGTCAAAGGGCTGCTATCAGAGCTGCCAGCCAAGGGAGAGAGGCAAAGGGCAGCGGACTGAGGAGGGGACACTTGCAGCTTGCGCGTTAGAGCCGCCGCCTGCCTTCTTGTCTACTGAACGCGGCTTCCCTCTGATGTCCAGGCACGTCTGCCGCCCCAGCCCTCCCTCAGATTGCGCCAGGCCCGCCTGTTACAAACTCTTAAAGCAACTCATGTTCATTTTGAATTCTGTGTGTGTGTGTGTGTGTGTGTGTGTGTGTTTGAGAGGTTTTTGCTTTAGGGCGCTTGCGCTCGTGGGGTGGGGGTGCGGGCAGTGAGAAATCACCCCACAGGATGGCCACACCACGGTCCCGTCTCCTCCTGGGGTCGTCTGCACACAAGCACACGCGCCTGGAGTGAATTGTAAGCCACCGGTCCGGGACTCCAACCACGGTCGGCTGTGTACGAGTCCAGCGACATAACCGCTACGTCATCTGTTGGCCCCTCCTTTTGTATTCTTTGGTGGGATTATCATCTGAGAAATAAGAGAAATGGCAGCATCCTCCGTTTGTTTCCTAGGGTATCTGGTCTGGGTTCTTTGCAAATGTTAGTGTAAATCTCTCGTGGCGCGAGTGGGAAGCCCCACGGGGGAAGGATCCCGCCCCAGTCAGGGACTCTAGCCATGCGGATTCAGGAATCACTGACACCTCACCCCAAGCACAGTCAGGACTGTGGGTTGAAGCCCAGAGGCACCCCAATGTAGGCAGACATCTGGGAACATGAATTCAGCCTACGTACATTGTGTGCCTTCCACGGGGCTGACATTGGCGATACAGCAGGGAGCAAACCCAAACCGGATCCCGATCCTCCCGGAAGTAGAGGGACGGACAGATCAGCAGACAAATTCCATAGAAAGATGCATAGGCATCTCCACCCCGCCTTTTACCGCAGGGAAGACTGAAGTGCCGAGAATGTTCCTGACTAATGCCCGAGTATGGAGGCTCCGCCAGGGGAAGAAGAATGTCCGCGGGTGGTCACCCACCCCTGGGAATCCTGGCCTCCCGTCCAACACCCACAGCTAGCAGTCTGGTCTGAGAAGGACTGAAGGGAGAGGCAAGTCCCATTCCAAGATCTCAAAGAAGTCTCCCATCTCTGTACTCCCCGGAGCGGAGGCTGACCTAAGAGAGATCTATCTACACATCCGAGGGGGCCTGGAGACAGATGCGTGGGCGGAGAGGGGGTAGGAAATACCCGGGTATGGGTGGAGCAATGGGGGAGGGGCTCTCTCCTAAACTGTATATTCCAGACTCATTCCCAACATCCCGCGTCCTCCGCGCCTGGACCCCACTCTGAGATCTAGCAGCCTCTCCATGAATACCGAATGAGTCGTTGGAAGGCCAAGAAGGGGCGGGGAGCTGCAGGAGCCGGGGCGGAGGGCCCCGCGGCCAATGGGGTGGGCTTCTGCCCTCTCCGCCCCTCTCTGACCCTCCCCTGGAGCCGGCGACCTAAGTGTCTGCAAAAGCAAACAGTGAAAGGGCAGGTAGGTGCAAAGGGCGGGAGGAGGGGCCGGACCTGTGTCTCCCAGAGGCGCCGCTGGAGCCTGGACTAGGAGAAGGGCACCTGACAGTTATTTTCCACTGCAGCTCTGGAGGACCGGATCGGGTGCATTGCTAGCAATTTCTTGTCTATGCAGCCGTATTTGCATATATATGTATTTACATATACAGTATAGGCAAATAGCCTGTAGCTTTTCACCCTTTATTCTTTTACACAAATAATAGCATAAGTGCACCGTTCTGCACATTGCTTTTTTCACCTCCTACATTGAAAAAAAAAAAAGTCACCCAATATTCCTCTGTGTACTGTACCATTATCTATTTAACAAGTCTTCTGAAGGACGTTTAGACTGTTCCCAATCTTTTGCTCTTAACGTCATTTCACTCAGATGTGCGTATATCTTTGGAATAAATTCCTAGAAGTGAAACTGCTTGGTTAAAGGGTGAGTTTGTAATCTTGTTAGCTATTACCAGAATGGTGCTGATGAAAGTTGTACAGTCCCAAAAGCAATGGATGAGGAGGCCTGTTTCCCTACTCCCTCACCAATGGTGTTATCACACTTTCCATTTTTATCTAATATCCTTTTCTCTCCCCCTTTTTTAAGAATTATTTTATTTAACTTTATTGTTTTTGGTTTTGTTTTGTTTTGTTTTTGTTTTAATTTGACCAGAGAGCGACAGTGAGCGTGAGAAAGTAAGAAAGCAAGCCGCCAGGTCCGGGACGGGAACCATAGTCAGTCATGTGGGAGTCCAGTAGTACCCTTAACCACCACACCACCCACTGGTTTCCCCCCCCCTTTTCTTGGGGGGGGGAGAGATTTGATGCACATGGCATTTACTTAAGTGTGAATGTTTTTATTACATCTTTTAAAAAGCGTCAATGTTCTTCTTTTTTTTTTTTGGAGAGGTTTTCGCTATAGGGCGCGTGCGCTCGCCAGACAGACAGAGAGAGACAGAGAGACAGAAAGCGAGAAATCACCCCCCGGGGGGATGGTCACGCCACAATCCCTTCTCCTCCACACACATGCGCCCGGCGTGAGTTTTAAGCCACCGGGTCCGGAACGCGAACCATGGTCGACTATGTGGGAGTCCAGCTACATAGCCATTACGCTAACTGCTGGTTCCCGGCTCCCCCTTTTTAAAGAGAGATTTTTGTTAATGGGTATGTGTCCCCTCTTTTTAAGAGAGATTTTTGCTACAGGGTATGTGCACTTGCCAGAGAGACAGAGAGACAAAAAGCAAGAAATAACTTCTTGGGGGGATGGCCACACTCCAGTCTCTTCTCCATTCTCCTCTTGGAATTTCGGGCATGCATGCACACATGCCTAGTGAGAGTTTTAAGCCCCTGGGTCTCAGACTTGAACTGTGGCTGACCATGTGGGAGTCCAGCGGTGTAACCATTACGCCATCTGCTGGTCCCCCCCTTTTTTTTTGTTTTGCTAGCTGGTGCATGTGCTCACCAGAGAAAGAAAGCACCCTCTATAAGCAATAGTCACACAGCCATCCCTTCTCCATTTCTCCCTCCTCTCAAGATTTTGAGCAGGCATGTACACACACCTGGCATGTTTCTCAAGCGATCAGGTTGGGAACCCTCACCACACAATCAGCCATGTGAGATCCAGATGCCATTGTGGGATTCATTGGGCCATAGAACTGGTTCATGATGACCTTACTTTTCTTTTTTTTTTCTTGAATCTAAAAAATGTTTAATGGGGACCAGCAGTTAGCGTAATGGCTATGTCGCTGGACTCCCTCGTAGTCGACCACGGATCGAGTCTCCGACCTGGTGGCCTTAACTCATAAACTCACGCCAGGCACGTGTGCATGCGTGCCCAAGATCCCGAGAGGAGAATGGAGGAGAAGGGATTGCGGCGTGGCCATCCCCCCTGTGGGGTGATTTCCTGCTTTCTGTCTCTCTGTCTCTCTGTCAAGCGCACGCGCTCTATAGCAAAAAAAACCTCTCCAAAAAAAAACCCATGTTTAATGTCGTTCACATAGTGTCCAGTTCATTTTAGCTCCTTCACTGCCAAACCCAGGGGCAGGGACTGCTTCAGTTTCTCTGCCTTCTCTTTTTCTGTGATGACCAAGGTATTTCCTGCATCGAAATTTAAACTTCACATTATCATTATTTTTCTTGATCTTGACAGATTGGGCGTCCTTTTGCTGGCTGTTAGCAGAAAGTCTTTGATTCCCTTAATTTTCTGAGGCATGGGGAGTGGGGAGAGCATGGGAAGAGTGTGCCCACCAGCACAGCCAACAGCCAGAAATGAAGAGGATGGAAAGGGACCTGCGATATCCTTTTTTAAAAAGAAAATTGAGGGGGCTAGCAGGTCTTGTGGTGGTTAAGGGTGCCGGACTCTCACATGGTTGACCATGGTTCGAGTCCGGGACCTGGCGGCTTGCTTTCTCACTTTCTTTCTTTCTCTCTTTTTCTCACTCTGTCCCTCTCTGGTCAAATTTAAATAAATAAATAAATAAATAAAAATTCAATAAAGTTATTCTTTAAAAAGAAATGAAAAAAAAAGGATCATCCCCTTCCCAAAAGCACTGGGGAGCTGGATTTGCACTACCACTGGGCACTATTAAGGTATCCTTACCCCTCATGTTTCTTTTACTGTTTTTTTTTTTCATTACATAAAGACAAACAGGTCTATCTCCTAAGAAGACATAACAATTCTTAAAGTATATGCACAAATTATATAGCTGCAAAATCTGTGAAACAAAAACTGATAGAATGGGGGACCAGCAGATGATATAGTAGTTACGTTGCTGAACTCTCTACATGGATGATCACAGTTCAAGCCCCAGACTGGGAGGCTTGAAACTCATGCTGGCCACATGTGTGTGCATGCCCCAAATCCCGAGAGGAGAATAGAGAAGGGATTGCAGCATGGCCATACCCCCTGAGGGGTGGTTTCTCATTTTCTATTTCTCTGTCTTTGGTGGGCGCACTGGACAAGTGTGCATGTGTGCCCAAGATTCCAAGATGAAATGGAAGAGAAGGGATTGCAGTGTGGCCATCTTCCTGGGGGGTGATTTCTCATTTTTTCCCTCTCTCTGTCTTTCTGTCTCTCTAATGAGTGCACACATCCTATGAAAAAGAAACTATAAAAAAGAAAAAGAAAATCAGTAGTCGTTAAACACCGGGAGGAGGGAGTCAGATCTCACATAGCCAACAGCGGTTCAAATCCTGGCCCCAGTGACTTGAAAAACATGCCAGCGCATATGTGTATGTGCCCCAAATCCTGACGGGATAGAGAAAAAGAGATCAGTGTGACCACACTACACTGGGCAAAGCGTGCTCATTCTCTCTCTTCCTCTGCGCAATGGCACATGCTCTCTGGTAATAAAATCAGCAAGGGCTCAACAGCACCATCCCAACAGTGTCCAATTGATACGTACATATATTCCATTCAACAACAGCGGAACACACACTTGTTTGAAGTGCTCAAAGAAAATGTACCAAGATTGACCATATCCTGGGTCATACAACAAACCTCAACAAATGGAAAAGAATTGAAATCAGCATGTTCTTTGACCACAAAGGAATCAAACTAGAAATCAGTAACAGAAAGATGATGGGAAAATCTCCAAACTCATGGAAACTAACACACTTCTAAATTGTCCATAGGTCAAAGAAGAAGTCTCAAGGGAAATTTAAAAACAGATTGAACTGGGGCTAGAAAGTGGCATGGTGGTTAATGTTCTAGATTCCTACATGACTGCCTGTGGTTTAAATCCTGGACCTGATGGCTTGAAAATCATACCAGGCATGTGTGCTCCAAATCTCAAGAGGGGAACAGAGGAGGGATTGTAGTGTGGCACCCCAATCACCTGGGGGGTGATTTCTCACTTTCCCTCTCTCTCTGGCAAGCACACATGCCCTGTGGTAAACAAACAAACAAACAACACTAATAAATAAGTAAATAAGAATAGGAAAAATGAAACAATAGGGGATTGGATATATAGGCTGGAATATTCTGTAGCTGGAGAAGTGGCATAAGGGATGAGGAGACTAAGGTGCTTGGATCTTCTTCTGAGACCTGTTTGGGGTCTCCAAAGTTTTATTCATAGGAACTTACATATATATATTAGCAAATATATCATTAACTGGTGTATATTCATTTAGGATCAGATTTGTCATTAAAGACAGGGCATGCATATTCATATTTCCAAGTGCCTTTTAAAAAAAAAAAATTAAAGTTGAAATTTGTTGAGAACCGGGGCCAGCCGGTGACATGGTGTTTAAGGTTCTGGATCCCACATGGCTGACTCTGCAATTTTAATCCCAGACCTGGTGACTTGAAAATCACATTGGGCCTGTGTACATGAGTGCTCAAAACTCTGAGAGGAGACAGTAGAGAAGGAACTGCACTGTGGCCATTCCTCCAGGAAGTGATTTATTGCCTTATCTCTGTTTCTCTCCAGTGAACTCATGTGCCCTGTGGCAAAAATCTAAAACAAAACAAAACAAAAAGAGAGAGACCCTGAATAGAGTGTAGGAATTGTAAAAGCTTAGACTAGGACTGGCTTCTTGGTGCAGTGTAACGAGCTGCTCAAGAGAAACCAGATCTCACCTGGTGCCCACAGCCTGAATCCCCAGCCTAGTCAGCCTGAAACATGCCAGGCACATGGAGTCTGATGGGCTGGAGGACTGCAAGAAGGAGTTTGCAGTGTGACTTGACTTTCATTCCTTTTTCCCTCACTCTCACATGTGTGCACACACACACACTCCACCAGGAACAAAGAAAAAAGTAGGCTGTACTTATTAAATCTTGACATATTTAAAACTGCTTCTAATTAATTATAGGAGTCACTTCCTCAAAATGTTAATCATAGCTGGGTTGAAAGACTATTTGGGAAATGTGGCAATGTTGTTTATATAAGTATACCACATTATAAATCCTCTGAAGATCCAAAGGGATTTTCTTTTGTGGAATTTGAAACAAAAAAACGAGGGCAAAGCTATTGAGGTGGGTCCAGATTCTTAACTGAAAAAAGACAAAACAATTAGCAAATATTATAAATAGGAAAATGTTTTGCAATCATTTAGTTTATTTTTTATTAATATTTAATTGTATTTATTCATTCATTTTTAATTATTATTATTATTTTTAAATTTGACCAGAGAGAGAGAAAGAGCGAAAGTGAGAAAGCAAGTCACCAGGTCCGGGACTCAAACCGTGGTTGGCCATTTGGGAGTGTCCAGCGCCTTAACCACCATGCCACCTGCTGGTCCCTCTTTTTTTTTTTTAAGAGATATTTTTGCTATAAGGTGTGTGTGCTCACCAGAGAGACAGAGGGACAGAAAGTGAGAAAAATCACCCCCTAGAAGGGATGGCCGTGCCACAGTCCCTTCTCTCAGGATCTTGGGCAGGCACACACACACATGCCCAGGAAGAGTTTTAAGCCACTGAGTCCAGGACTCAAATTGCAGTGGACTATGTGGGAGTCTAGCCATGTAACCATTACACCATCCATTAGGCCCACAGTAATTTAATTTCTTAAGTCAGTAGAAAAGGCACCAAGACAGGACAAGCAGATGGCGTAGTGGTTACATTGCTGGACTCCTACATGGTTGACTGTCGTTCAAGTCCCAGACCTGGTGCCTTGAGACTCATGCTGGGTGAATGTGCATGTGAGCCGAAGATCCCAGGAAAATAGAGGAGAAGAGATTGCTGCGTGGTTATCCCCACCCCCCACCCCAGGAGTGATTTCTCACTTGTCCTCTCAGTGTCTCTGTCTCTCTCTCTCTCGCTGTTGTGCCCTAAGGCAAAAACCTCTAAAAGAAAAGGTACTAAAAGAACCTGGCATGTTTTCAAAAATATGAAAAATAAACCCATTCCAATGTTGAGTAGCTAGTTAGCATTTATTTAATATTTGAATAGATATAGTAGAAGTACAATGAAACTAATGATAGTATTGTTACAGGGGAGAGAAGGAAAACAAGAAAAAAGGCTGAATGAAGAAGGAAGACAAATGTCTGGACCACAGAGATGAATGTGGACACAAGCAACACAAGCATCTCTAAAATGAAGAGATTGAGGACCACATTGGAGGATTCTGAAGCAGAAACTATTGAACCCCAAAACAATGTTCTAGGGAAATCGAGAAAAATGAGAAAAAATTGAAGTATCCAATTTACCTGAAGCCAGAAGAGGAAAGAGAAGTCCCTCTGAAGCTTGCCACCAAAAGTAAACAAAATGGCTCAGGGACTGACCCTGTAGCTTAGTGGATACCTGCAGAGAAACCCACTCATGTGCACAAGGAGACAAGAACAGAAATGTCCATTGCTCCATGTATACACTAGCAATAGGCTGTATTCAACTTGACTATTAGCTGAACAGAGAACAGATAAATAAGCCATGGTGTGTATATGATCAAATACTATAGGAAGTAAAGAGCTATATGCATGAGTCTTAAATTATGCTGACTGAAAAAGCAAGTTACAGAAGGGTAAGTACGGTTGATATGGTTGAAATAAAGGTTTCGTGTTTTTGTTTTTTTGATGTAGGGTGTGTGTACTGGGTTGGGGGCTGGGGGTGGGACCTGAGTGGAGGGAGAGCAGTAAGAGAGCACTCTGACCAGAGGTGGTCATGCTGCAATCCGTTCTCCTCCATTTTTCTCCTGGGGGTGGGGTGGGGGGGGTGTTTGGGTATTCATTTGGGTGTTAGTGTGTTTCTCAAGCCATCAGTTGACCATGTGGGATCCAACAGCCTAAAACTCCCACTCCACAGGATGGTCCTTATATAAAGGTTTTAAAAACTGAAAGAATCTACTAATTGTAAAATGATTTACATAAAAATGCAGGCAAGTGGCCGCTGTGGTGAAAAACACTGGATGTCAGTGGCTAACCACTGTTGAATCTCGGACTGGGCAGCTTGCTTTCTCACATTCTCTCTGTCTTTCTCTGGTCAAATAAAAACAAACAAACAAACAAACAAAACATAATAATAAATAAAATTAAAGAAAATAATTATTTTTAAAAAGTGTAAGCAAATTGATCTAAATTCAGGGTTGGCGGTTACTTGGGGCAGGGGGAATGATCTAGTATGTGCCAGGTACCCGAATATTGCACTTGTACTGTGCGGGAGGTATTATTTGGCCCATTTTACAGATGAGGAAAATGAGGCTCAAGATTGAACTGGCTAGAATTTCAATTCTGCATGGTTTTGATATAGGATTTGGCTGAGTGAAAGAAAGAACAGCCTTGGATCAGTCTCAGACCGCTCCTGCCGATCCCTTCCTACCGGCGTAAGGTTAGGGCCTTCACCTGATAGAATGCAGTCTCTCTACCCGGGTCCAAGTCTGTCCCGGCCCCGCCCCTGTGGGTTGGGCCCCGCCCAATAGATTCATGAATATGCAAGTAAGAGGAACATATTTAAAGGCGCCGGGGCCACGCGCAGATCCTTGCCCGGCGCCGCCCTCCTGGTGCCAGTTTCCAGTGTGAGGCCGGCCCCCTTCGCCCATTTTTATTACTCCGTGCGGAAGAGCCGCCAGCATGTCTGAAAAACTGCCCTACAAAGTCGGTGAGTTCCAGGTCGTGAAGCAGCCGCGGTGGCCCTGCACCCGCCCAGGGCTCGTTTGGGTCGGCGGCCGCTGAGTCGACCGGGAGCGCCCAGGACCCCTTGAATCGCGGGCTCGGCGCATTCCTGGCCGCGCGAAGCCGCCTGGGGGTTGGAGGTTTCGTGTCGGGGAGTTTTCGTGTCGGGGCTACCGGGTCGTCGGAGGCAGCAGCGGACTACAAATCCCGGCATGCTCCGCGGCCTCCGCTGCAGCCGCGCGGGCTGCTGAGCAGAGAGCAGGCGGCGTGTAGCTCACGGAACTGACGGGGGCGGGCTGGAGACTGCTCTGGCGGCAGACTGGGAGTCTTGGCACCTACAGAAACCTGCCCTTGGGGGTCAAGTTCTCACTTCTGGGCCTGGATCGGTCCCTGGCCAGCTGGGTGGACCCGACAAGGGTTCATCCCTCTCAGGGCCTCCGACTGAGAAAGCGACTGCATTGGAGCCCTATGGGCGTGTGAAAGAGGCCTGAATTAGTTTGCACACCGGGGACTTTGGGCTGGTCAACCTGGGCAATAGGGACAGTCGGGCAGAGAATCTCGGAGAAATGAGTGCTTGGGAAAAAATCGATCTACAGATTGAAGGCTAGCATAATGATAGTTAATCTTTAATATCCCCCTACTGTGGGATCAGTACTGCCTTAATTTTATTCTCTTGGCCCTCTAGAGTAGGATAACTTGTCTACAGTCTTACATCTGGGACACATTAGAGCAGGATTTGAACTTAGACCATCTGGACTTATGAGTGCAACCCTTCCACCACAGGTGAACACTTGGAACAAGACACTTTTGTTCTCATTCTTTCAAAAATTGTTTTTTTTTTTTTTAAGGTTTTTACCATAGGCATGTGCGCCTGCTGGAGAGAGAGACAGTAAGAGGGAAAATGAGAAATCACCGTCTAGGGTAGATTGCCATGCTGCAATCCCTTTTCTATTCTGTTGGGATTTTGGGCTCCCATGCACATGCACCTGGCATGATTTTCAAGCTGCCAGGCCTGGGTCTTGAACCGCAGTTGGCTATGTGGGAGTTAAGTGTTGTAACTACTACACTACTTGCTGGCCCCAAAAGAAGTAACTTTTTTTTTTTAAAAATTAATTTATTTTAGCTTGACCAGAGAGGGTCAGAGCAAGAGAGAGAAAGAGGAGGAAAGCAAGAAAGCAAGCCACCAGGTCCAGGACGCAGACCACGGTTGACCATGTGGGAGTCCAGTGCCCTTAATGACCACACCACCTGCGGGCCCTCAAAATAAGTAACTTTTAAAATGGCAGTAAGACCTTGAGAAAGGCACTAGTGTCAGGTGATTTGTGTGTGTTAACAGTATCTTTATAAAGTAAATTTTACTCCATTTTACAGAGGAAGAAAGTGAGCCTCTGAGAGTCAGTGACTTGGAGAGATTCTGTTGAAATAGCTAATCAAGTAGCCACCAGGGTAGACTTGTTCCCATTGTGTGGATGATGAAACCAAAGTCCAGAAAGGTTAAGTCAATGTTATCAGTGGCAGAGCTAGAATAAGTGCTTGTCATACTGTGGGACAATTTGTGGGTCAGGACTGGAGGCATTGAGTTGTGTGAATGGAGATAAGGCTGGATTTGGAATTGGGGGAGTTTGGCTGTGTAGGGATGGAGGAAGGAAGCCTTCATCAATGAGCACCAGACCTTGCCCATATGGTGTGTGTATATAATTTTTTAAAAAAATTATTTGATTTAACTTTATTTGTTTATTTATTTTAATTTGATCAGAGAGGTAAAGGGAGAGAGAAAGTGAGAAAGCAAGCTGCCAGGTTTGGGACTTGAACCATGGTTGGCCGTGTGGGAGTCCAGCACCCTTAGCCACCATGCCACCTGCCAGCCCTGCCCATATGGTATATTTAATCCTCAGAGCACATAGCAAGGTTAGAGATGATTACCCTTACTTTACAGGTGAAGAAACTGAAATTTAGAGAGGCTTTCGCTGTCCCTCTTGGCTTATCCTGGAACTTCTGCAAGTCCTCAGCTCCCCTGGCAACAGAAGTCCCAGAGCTTGGAGCACCAGCCCTTCCTGCATGGAAAACAGGCTGCTATAGCTACCATGAGGGCTTTGAAAAACAGATGGATGGATGAGCTTAGCTTGGGACTGGACAGACCCAGCCATTGTCCCCCACAGTGAATTCCTCTCCCTTGAGGGCTTTGAGAAAGGCCTCTGCTCTACACCAGCATTGCTGCCAGGCCTGCTTCTGCTGTTGACAGGGTATAAAATCTGGGGCAAACCCCTCTTTGGGCACTTTCTTCATTGGTAAGTCTTCGGAACTGGACTAGGTTCGGGTTTGTTTAGTTTTATTTATTTTTTTTAAGAGGTTTTTGCCTTAGGGCACATGTGCTCACCAGAGAGAGAGACATGAGACAGTGAGAAATCACCCCCCTTTCCCCCAGGGGATGGCCTGCTGCAGTCCCTTCTCCATTCTCCTTTTGGGATCTTAGGCATGCACCCGCCCAGTGTGATTTTTCAAGTCACCGGGTCTGGGACTTGAAGCTTGGTCAGCCATTGTGGGAGTTCACCAATGTAACTGCTATGCCGTCTGCTGGTCTCAATTTTGTTTTATTTTGTTTTTGCCATCTCACTTGTGCCAGTCCCTTTCATGGTTCTTTCCCCATTCATTTCTAATAGATAGGGTCAGTAAACATTTGCTGACCCCTTTTCTGTGTCAGACCCTACTGGGCACTGGAAATACAAAAGTGACTTTGGGGTGGGGATGGGACAGACATGCAAACAGGTAGTGTAGAATTGTCTCCATTTTATTAGATCTGCCATGTCTCTGTGTCCAGGGCTACCACCCCAGTTCTGGTCTCCCTCCTCACAGGTCTTTCAGGGTCTCTTGTTTGACAGATCCATGCAGCAGCCAATGGAGTCTTTTCAGAAGGCACATGTGGTCTTTGAATGATGTCTCCCTTAAAACTCTGTAGGCTTCTCACCAGCAGGTGGCGTGGTGGTTAAGGGTGCTGGACTCTCACATGGCTGACCATGGTTTGAGTCCCAGACCTGGCAGCTTGCTTTTTCACTTTCTCTCTTCCTCTGTCCTCTCTGGTCAAATTAAAATAAATAGATAAATAAATAAATAAAGTTGAATGAAATAATTAAAAAATTTAAAAACTATAGGCTTCCTACCTCACTAGGAGTAACATCGTGGTTTGTTTTCTTATTCCCTCTGTTTAATCCACTTTGGCCCACTGTTGTTCCTCTGGCAGGAGTATACCAAGTTCTTTAAACCTCTTTCCAGTTTTTTTTTTTTTTTTTTTTTTTTTTGAGGACCTACTATGGGTTGCTATATCAGATATGTGGGGCCTTCCAAGCTAAGAACTGCTTGGGTTAAAGCCCTGAGGGGAGACGAATTTAGAATATGAATGCAGTCAGAGGTCTGTGTGGCTCAGCAGCTAGTGAGGATGGAAAAAGATGGAGAAATGGGGGCAAAGAGAGGCAGTCAAATGGATACAGGCCTGAGGACCAGGTGAGAAGTTAAAAGACAGAGAGAAATAGAGAGATAGAAAGTGAGAAATCACCTCCTGCCCCCAGAGGGGTTGGCCACACTGCAGTTCTCCATTTTCCTCTTGGGATCTTGGGCACGCATGCATATTCACCTGGCATGAGTTCTAAGCCTCTAAGTCTGGGATTCATCCTGTGGTCAGTCATGGGGGAGTCTAGCAACATAATCATTACTCCATCTGCCAGTCCTCAGGAGTTAGGAGTTTATTAATAGGTTAGGGGGAGCCTTTGGAGGTTTTCTGTTTGTTTGCTCACTTAAGTGGGAGAATGAAGGTGATATAATTTCAATTTTTTTTTTTTTTTTTTTTTAGAAATTTTTGCTATAGAGTGCATGTGCTCGCTGGAGAGACGGAAAGAGACAGGAAGTGAGAAATCACCCCCTTGAGGGGGGATAGCCACGCTGCAACCCTTTCTCTTCTGTTCTCCTCTTGGGATTCTGGGCATACAGATACACACGCCTGGTGTGAGTTTCAAGCCACCAGGTGTAGGACTTGAGCTGTAATTGACCACTTGACACTGGTCAAGGTGTCCAGTGCCTTGACCACCTCATCACCGGCTGGCCCCCTAACCTCAGTTTTTAAAGTCCCTTCTTGGGCCAACTGGTGATATAGTGGTTAAAGGTGGCTGGATCCCATATGGCTGACTGCACAGTTTGAGTCCCAGGTCTGGTGGCTTGAAAAACACATTGGGTACATGTGTGTGTATGCCCAAAATCCTGAGAGGAGAATGAAGAGAAGGAATTGTGGTGTTTCCATTCCCTGAGGGTGTGACTTCTCATGCCCCTCTGGTGAATGCATGTGCCCTGTAACAACAACAAAGCTTCCCTTCTCTGGTTGCTGTGGTCAAATGGTATGTGGGAGTAAGGGTACAGTGAATGAAGAAGCTCCCATAGTGGTTCAACTGAGAAATGGAAGTTTAGGTGAGGGTCATAAGGTGGTATTGCTTATATATTTGGAATGTTGAGCCAAAAACATGGCAATGGAGGTGAAAGGGCAAAGAATCAACAAATTTTACAGGTTTTTGGCCACAATGACTGGTTTAGTCAATGGCGGTTTTATTTCCTAAAATGGGAAGATTAGGAGAGGAGGGTGGGGGCAAGAAGTCGAGAGGGCTCAAACTTGGACATCCAAGTGGAGATGCTGAGTGGGCATTTGGCTTCTGGGAAGAAGTCTGGGCTGAAGATAACTCTGTGGGAGTCATCACTGTAGAGAAAGTATTTACAGCCATAAAAATGGATGAGCTCATCTGGTAGGAGTTACAGAAGAGGGAGATGAGGGAGCCGTCAGGACTCCAAACATTAGTCTTAGAAGAACAGGAGCCAAGAAGATAGGAGGAAAAGCACAAGAGGGCAGAGTCACAGAGCCAAGTTAGGAAAAGGTTTTAGGCAGGAGGGAATAGTCAGCAGGCTTAGTGCTTGTAGGAGAAACACGAACCTAGGTTCCTAGACCAACAGATGTGGGGATCGGTCTGGTCTTCAGATGCCTTGAGAAGAGCAGTTTCAGTAGAGTGGGGGAGTCCTTAAGGAGGTGAGAGGACGTGGGATCCAGCCCCTTAGCAAGGACAGCTCATTTTAATTTTTTAAAAAGAATTATTTTTATTTAACTTTATTTATTATTAGTAGTATTTTCTGGTTTGATCAGAGAGACACAGAGAAAGAGAGAGAGGGAAAGTGAGAAAGCAAACCACCAGGTCCGGGACTTGAACCATGGTCAGCCATGTGGGAGTCCAGTGCCTTTAATAACCATGCCACCTGCCTGCGCTGTTTTTATTATTTTTTTTAGAGAGGTTTTTTTTTTTTGCTATAGGGCATGCGCTCACCGGAGAGAAAGAGAGACAGAAAGTGAGACAGAAAGCAAGAAATCACACTCCTCCCCCCCCCCACCAGGGAGGGTGGCCATGCTGCAGTCCTTTCTTTTCTTCCATTTGTTGTAGAGTATAACCGAATGAACGACCACCAAAGCCAGATTAAGGTTAAAGGAGTCTTTATTAGCTGGCCAGTGACTACAGCAGTTAGTGTAATAGCTGTGTCGCTGGACTCCCATGTAGTCGACTGTGGTTCAAGTCCTGGACCCGGTGGCTTAAAACTCACGCTGGGCGCATGTGCGTGTGTGTTCAAGATCCCGAGAGGAGAATGGAGGGGAAGAGATTGTGGTGTGACCATCCCCCATGGGGGGTGATTTCTCGCTGTCTTTCTGTCTCTCTGTCTCTGGCAAGTGCACATGCCCTATAGCAAAAATCTCAAAAAAAAAAACCAAAAACAAAAAACTAATATACAGCCTTCCACATTCTCTCAGGATTTTCGGCACGCATGCACACATGCCCAGTGTGTTTTAAGCTATTGGGTCTGGGACTTGAACCATGGTTGACTACGTGGGAGTCCAGCTATGTAACCATTACACCATTTGCTAGTCCCCAAGCTCATCTACTTTAACAGAAAAGAATCTACCAATCTGTAGGTACAAAGGAGGCAGACTAGTGGATTCCATAGAGGAGAAGTGGCATGGTTCTGAATTCTCAGTGAATTGTGAAGGGAGGTTGTCAGTTGATGGGGAAAGGTGTTGGAGGTTTGGGGAGAGTAGAGTAAATTTACTAGGAAAATGTAATAGGATTGCTGGAACGTGCTATGTGTCCCTTGAGATTTGTGGTTAATAAATGAGATCTCCTGGTGTGGTTGCAATTCTCTTCCTGCTGGGTTCAGTGGCTTAGTGTAGTGGAAGGTGGGGAGTTTTGCTGAGTGAGTTATCAGGGAAAGAAGGTAGAGGGGACTGTGGAAATTGATAGGATGAAGGGATTAGAGGTTTTGATCTGACAGACTTTAGCCTTGTTGGAATTGGGACTCTGGAGGGACAGAATTGGAAAGATGGGGCATAGTAAGAGTGGGTTGATGAAATCCAGATTTGGGGGAGGGAGAGCTGTCATTGGGATGGCCTACCAGAGTGGGAGGGGTGAGGTGGGGGTGAGGACTTGAGGGAGGTGTTCTGTTGAAGCACCGTGGGAATGGTCATAGAGGAAGAAGCATTTCATCTCTGAAATTGTTTAGATGCACTGTAGGAAGCAGACTAAGTAAGGTTTTTTTATTTATTAAGTTCTTTATAGTCTTCCCTCTTCCCCTCCAACCCTCCATTTCCTTGGGCAGTTGACAGGATCTAAGCTTCCCTAAAGATAAAAATCACTAGGAGTCCAAGGCCCCATCTTAGACCCATTGAATGTGATTTTCCAGGGGAGATTTATAAGCATGCCAGGTGAATTTTATCATCAGGGAGTTCCGTAAACATTGACCTAGGAATTGACTTAGAGTATGACCTTGGGAACTGGCCAATGTGGGAGGGAGGAAGGTGAAGTGATTAGAGGAAAGAGTATGAAGATAGAAAGCTTATAATAGTATTTAGACAATTTATTTTTTGGAGAGGTTTTTGCTATAGGGCGCGTACATTTGCCAGAAAGACAGTGAGAGAGAGAGAGACAGAAAGCGAGAAATAATCCCCCCAGGGAGGATGGCCACGCTGCAGTCCCTTTTTCTCCATTCTCCTCTCGGGATCTTGGGCACACACGCATACCTTCCTGGTGTGAGTTTAAGCCACCGTTTCCGGGACTCAAACCGCGGTCCACTACATGGGAGTCCAGTGACATAGCCACTACACCATCTGCTAGTCCTGTATTTAGACAAATTTAAGGCACATAGGGTGACAGAAGCCAAAATCCACCTTTTATTACTAATAACATCGAAGTGAGGGGATGTAGTTAGTGTGAAAGCTCAGTGATCCTATAACAGAACTCTACAGTTCAGCAGTTACCTACTAGTTAGAGGGCAAGGTGAGCCTGAATAGGGGTCTTTATGTGGAAGAGCAGAGAATACCCACTTTCTGCAGGTAGGCAGGTAGACACTTGCTTGCAAAAGAAGGATGGGCAGAACTGAGCTTGCCCAACTTACTCTCTCAGCCAAGCCACTTTACCTCCCCTGGAGCAGAGAGGCCAAGGTTAGTTACACTAATGAGTTCCCTCCATGTGGATGGAAAGAAAACACCAGGAGTGGGGAAGAGGCATCTTGAAGGAGATCAAGAAATTGTGTCAAGTCCAAGATGTTAGATAATGTTGAGTAATGTTGATGAGTGTTGAATCACCAAGAGTTGATGACTTGGAGAGAAGGATGGAGAAGCAGGAGCTAAGGTCTTTAGGGAATGAGGTTGGTTTACTATAGCAGAAAGAAAAGAGCAGTGGGAAGTATAGTCTGATAGCTAATTTTCAAAGGGGTACTTCTCTGTGCTATAATTTTCATATACCTGCATGATTGGTTCAGTGTGTCCTACAAGGTGATAAGCTACAGGTGGGAACTATTTTTTTAAAGAATTATTTATTTTGATTTTATTTATTCTTTCATTTATTCTGATTTGACCAGAGAGAGACACAGAGAGAGAAAGAGAAAGTAAGAAAGGAAGCCACCAGACCCAGGCCTCAAACTATGGTTGTCCATGTGGGAGTATCCAGTGCCTTAACCACCATGCCACCTGCTGGTCCCGTTTTTTATTTTTATTTTTTGCAGAGGTTTTTGTTATAGGGCACATGTGCTCGCCAGAATGACAGAGACAGAGAGATGGAAAGGGAGAAATCACCCCTCAGGGGAGATGACCAAACAGCAGTCCCTTCCCCTCCATTCTCCTCTTGGGATCTTGGGCACATATGCACACGCACCTGGCGTGAGTTTAAGCCACTGGGTCTGGGACTTGAGCTGCGGTTGACTACATGGAAGTCCAGTGACATAGCCATTATGCCAACTGCCGGTCCCTTTTCTCTCTCTCTCTCTCTCTCTCATTTTTTTTTTTTGGCAGGAACTATTAATACGTCTTTTTTTCATTTCCTGATTGCCCTGGCTCCATAAATACCTGTTGAGTAAGTGAAAGAATGTAGCGACAGGTTCCTAAGCCTTAAGTGTTCTGAGTCTAGACTCAGGGTCCTCACTTAGTAGCTGTGCTTCTTGGTTGATGGGACAAAGTAACTCATGGAATCTTTCACCCATTCTGTTCCTGCAGCTGACATCAGCCTGGCCGCCTGGGGTCGCAAGGTTCTGGACCTGGCAGAAAATGAGATGCCGGGCCTGATGCGCATGCGGGAGATGTATTCAGCCTCCAAGCCACTGAAGGGTGCCCGCATAGCAGGCTGCCTGCACATGACTGTGGAGACTGCTGTCCTCATTGAGACCCTTGTTGCCCTCGGTGCTGAGGTGAGACCCACAGCTCTGTGACCCCAGCCTAATCCCTTGCCTTCTCAGGGTTCAGCCAGAGAAGAAGGCTGCACAGAGGTGAAGAGGGTCCAGGTTGTGAGGGTTATCCTTCGGCCCTGCAGGGCCCTCTTATCTCTCAGGGTAGGGAATGTTCTGATTTTTTCCCTGACTGAGAAGATACCTTCTGATGGCCCTCAACACATCCTCCTGACTGAGAGTTCTAGTAGGAAATACTCAACACAGGGCCCCACAAGCTGTAGCTTGGTGGTTGAGGAAACTGGCTGACTGTGGTTCCAAAACTAGCCCCAGTAGCTTGAAAAACATGCCAAGTGTGCACCTAAAATTCCAACAGGTATGAAGAAGGGATTGCAAGGTGACCACACTCCACCAAAGCATACTTATGTCCTCTCTGTCTCTCTGAGGGTCTGCTGCCCTCTGCCAATTTGAAGAAAATAAAAAAGCAAGATCGCCTAAGGACTAGCTCTCATTGGCCACTGCAGGCTCATGTGCCTGCTCTGGACCAATCATGGCTGCCAGAGGATGGAATGTTCTGATTGGTTGAGCCTGGGTCATGTGTACCAATCATTAACTGCGCTTCCAAGATCTCAGGAAGCCAAGGAGCAAGGTGAATTCCCAATGTGGAGGGGAGGAAAGGGCAGCTAAAAAGAATGGAGAACTCCAGGGCTCAATCCTTTGACCTCTTCTTTCTTTTCGATATTCACTCTTGTAGTGGTTTGATTTTATGGCTTTTGAATAATACTGTCTGTACAGTAATGCCTCCCAGATATATGTACTAGCCTGGACTTTTCCTTGGAACTTCGGACTTGAATATGCAGCTGCTGATGTGTCATCTTCGCTTGGATGTCTAGTAGGCATCTCGGGGAACACATCCAAATGGACTCATGATTTTCTGCCCTCCCTCTTCTCGAAGTCTTCCCTTTATCAGTAAATGGCAACTCCAGCTTCTAGCTTCTTTCAGTTCACCAAGCGGGGTATCACCCCTGACTTCTCTTTCTCTCGTACTCAACAACAAATCCCTCAGCAAATCCTGTAAATTTAATCTTCAAAATATACCCAGGATTTAACAGTTTCTCATGACCTCCCCTGCTGTTGTTATATTTCTTATCTGGACTCTTTAGCGGCTCCTTCTTCACTTACTTCCTTGCTTCAGCTCTTTCTCTTTTAGATGGCATCAGAATTACTTAAAAATAATTTTTCCATTATTCATGATAGAATGTATGTGTGTGCACGTAAGGGGTGGGGAGGCACCCTGCACAGGGTCTGGACTTGCCATGGATTCTCTTCCTCCAGTCCTTTAGTCCATCAGTTTCTGGGAATTCATGCATGTGTCTGGCATGTTTTAGGCTGACCAGGCTGGGGATTTTAAGCCACAGTCTCCATGTGAGATCTGGCTTTCCTCGAGCAGAACATTACTGATGTGCTATGAAGCCAGCCCACAAGAGTGATGTTTTAAAACCTTAGTCAGATTCCATCACTGCTCTGGTTCCGTCTGCTCACCCACAGTCTCCAGCCTGTAGTCATGGATTCTAAGCCTCTTATCTCTGGCTCTAGGACTTTCCCCATCCCTTCCTAGTGACCTTGTTGCTTTTGTGTCGTCAGTGACCAACAGCCCTGTTTTGCTGACTCTCCTAGGTGCGATGGTCCAGCTGCAACATCTTTTCCACCCAGGACCATGCAGCAGCTGCCATTGCCAAGGCTGGTATTCCAGGTGAGACCTGCTCAGGGCTTATTATGAGTGGCTTGCTTCTCCCTGTTTGCTTCACTGGCTCCCGCACAAATGGGCTTCCTTACAGTGGTGGTGAGGGGTCATGACCACAGAATCCTAGCCTAGTGACCAGTAGGGAAGAACTACTTTGCCCCACTATCATCTAAAATTGTATTGACCCAACTCAATCCATGTGACCAGGAAGGATAGAATCTTATGCTTGGAAACCACATGATACAGAGGAGAGGAAGGATGTGGATTTGTTTCCAAAGAACTTGGGAAGAGACCAGTTCCAGAGTATGGCGGTTAAGCCCTGTGTATAGGGAGCCAGATTCCACATAACCAAATGCAGTTTGAATCCCGACTCTGGGTGCATGTGTATGTGTGTGCAAATCCTAACAGGAAAGAAGTGGGGAGGGATACTGGCCAGATAGAGCCCAGAAGATCCATTGCCTAGGGTATAGCAGTCTAGGAGGCTGGGGAAGGACTACTACTAAACATGAAAGACTTTCTCATAAGCTGCTGGAGAAATGGACACATGTTTCTCTTGCCTCAGGGGAAGTGGTTAGATCTTATTCTGACAGGACATCCACCCACAGGTGGAGGAGCCCACAGGTGGAAGGGGGAGGATCGAAGAGGGGCTTTCCACCTACTGACCAGGGCTGGGGGGCATGTCCTCCACTCCTGAGCCTTGGCTGGACTCCACAGCCCTCTTTTGGGAAAGGCCTTATTTTCAAGACCATTGTCTGCACCAGGTGGGGGAGGGGCAATTGGCCCTGCTTGGCTGGTGTCCTTTGCTCATGGAAGGCTCCTGGGAGCCCCATACCTGTGTCCCAGTCATATCATGTGATGGGAAGAACTTGGACTGGCAGCCAGCCGGCCTTGGTTCTGGTGCCTACTTTGGAATACCCTGAGTGACCCCAGCAGCTGTGAGTAGTGATGATGGTAATGCCTACCCCATAGAGCATCTGCGATGAGAAAGGACATGAAGCAGTTAGCATAATGTCTGGCCCAGAGAAGGTACACCATACACAGCAGCTGCTATTAGTAATGTTTTGGCCAGACTTTGTCTGAGACTGCCCACCACGGAGACTGTTGTGTTCTGGAACCTTTCCATGCAGAACAAACCTTGGATCCTGCCTTGTGGGTCCAGCTGAGTAGGAAGCATTGTGGGTGGGAGCCCTGGTCACTGTGGGGCCCAGACAGAAGGGAGTGGGAAAGGCAATAATTCTTTCCAGATATTTAAGCTTGGGGAGCTGTACTTGGCCATGTCTCACTTAATCCATCTTATTCTAAGCTCCATTTATAGAGGAGAAAACTGAAGCTTCAGGAGGTGAAGTGATTTGCCCAAGATCACGTAGCTGGTCAGTGGCCAGGATCTGAACTCAGATCTGTCTGGCTCCAAGTTGTGTTTGTACCACTTCTGAGTCTTCAGGGGGTGGAGGTGATTGGGAATGGGAATTCAGAAGAGAGTATTAACTCTTCGGGTAGTTTCCTGAAGCAGGTACCAGAGGGAAAGGGCAGGCCTTGAGATGCCACTCATTTTCCAGTATTCGCATGGAAGGGTGAAACGGATGAGGAGTATCTGTGGTGCATTGAGCAGACTCTGTACTTCAAGGATGGGCCCCTCAACATGATTCTGGACGACGGTGGTGACCTCACTAATCTCATTCACACCAAGTACCCACAGCTTCTGTCAGGTGAGCAGGGTGGGGCAGGTGGGTGCAGTACTGGCAGCCTGGATGGGGCCTGTTCACCCACACAAAGGGAGCAGGCCTGGAAGGAGTCCCAGCACCTCGAGCAGCAGCCCATACGGAAGATAGGAAGATAGCAAGTTCCTACCGGCGTGCAGGGGCCTGGCCTCTTGACTTCTGGTGGTGTGGGGCTAGGATGCCTGAGGGAGGCCTGGCTAAGATGACAGTGCAAGGGCAAGCATAGGGCCAGGGCTGGGAATAGCTGGGAAGGAGCTAGCTTTCTTTTTTTTATTAAATAATTTTATTTAACTTTATTATTATTATTATTATTTTCCAATTTGACTGGAGAGAGACAGAGAGAGAGAGAGAGAAGAAAAGTGAGAAAGCAGGCCACAAGGTTCAGGACTTGAACCTTGGTCAGCCATCTGAGTCTAGCACCCTTAACCACCACACCACCTGCCGGCTTTCTTAAAATAGTGGGGAGGGTGCAGTGAGTGCAAAGGCCCTGAGGTAAGAAATGATTGACTCCAGGAAACAGGAAGCCAGCATGGCCACAGTGAATGAAGGGAATAGGAAGCCAGCATGGCCATAGTGAATGAAGGGAGCCTTCTCTGGGGAGTTTGGACCTGGACCTTTAGTGAAGGCCAGGTGTGTGAGGACTGAATAGACCAAGAACAAAGGGAAGTAACCAGAGGGATTGGCGATTTTTCTGAAATATGTGTTACAAATGACTGCTGGCAGCTTTTTGAGCCGCTCTTCTGTCCACTTAGGCCTGCTCCTACCTCTCTGGAGTGGACTTTACTTTTACTTAATAAAGTACCTTTTCAGGACCAGCAGATGGCGTAATGGTTACGTCATTGGACTCCCACATGGCCATCCACAGTTTGAGTCACAGGCCCCGTGGCCTGAAACTCATGCCAGACACAAGTGTGTGCATGCCCAAAATCCCAAGAAGAGAATGGAGGGGAAGGGATTGCTGTGTGGCTACCCTCCCTGGGGATTGATTTCTCACTTCTTGTCTCTCTGTCTTTCTCTGTCTCTCCAGCAAGCACATAAACCTTATAGCAAAAGTCTCCTCAAAAAAACAACTACTGGCTCCAGGAGCATGTGCATACATGTCCAAAATCCTGAGAGGAAAATGAAGAAAAAGAGATTACAGAATGGCCATCCCCCTTTGGGGATGATTTCTCATTTTCTGTCTCTTTGACGAGCACAAGTGCCCTATAGCAAAAATCTCTATTAAAAAAAAAAAAAAAAAGACTGCTAGATGGGCCAGCTGGTAGTGTGGTATTAAGGTGACTGGATCGTACAAGGCTAGCTGTGCAGTTCGAGTACTGGACCTGGCAGCTTGGAAAACATACCAAGCACACGTGCATGTATATCCAAAGTCCCAGGAGGAGAATGGAAGAGAAGGGATCATGACTTGCCCCTCCCTGGGAGATGCTTTCTTATCTTCACTCTCTCTCTGTTTCTCATCAGTAAGCATATGTGCCCTATAGCAAATTTAAAAAAAAAGAAAGTCTGCTGGCTGCTGTGCGGAAAATGGATCACAGCAGGGACTAGAGCATGGGCAGTGAGAGTGGAAAAGTTAGTAGTTGTTGGGAGGTAGAATTCTTGGATCTGGTGATGGATTCCCTGTAGGACGGCATCAGATGGCCCCTTCATGCTGACCTGGGGTTTGGGTAGACTGTGGTATTAGTTATAGTATTGGGAACCCAGAAAGAGGAATGGCTTTGGGGACAAAAATGAGGAATTTAGGTGAATTCATGTGTGGTCTCTGAGTATTTTTTCCCCTCTCATTCAGGCATCCGAGGCATCTCTGAGGAGACCACAACTGGGGTCCACAACTTATACAAAATGATGGCCAATGGGATCCTGAAGGTGCCTGCCATCAATGTCAATGACTCTGTCACCAAGGTGAGTTTGTGGGCAGGGACAGCTCTAGCTGTCAGCAGGAGTAGGCCACTGAAGAAGAGTGCCCATGAAGGCTGTAGGCTGGAGACATGAAACCCTTATGTGGAGAAGGGGGGTTTATAGACTGAAGGTAATGTGTGTAGTAAAGAGGGAAGAACTACACAGTGGGCCTCAGAACCAGGTTTTAAGTTAAACAAATCCTTTGACTGGCAATCTCTCTTAGTACTATATCTCTAGGAAGACTTCTGTACCTACAGATAAAGACTAGGGAGAAGGCCTTGGAGCTGATTGGGATGAGGGGCAGGTGGGGACATGGGCTTATGGTATGGAGTCACAGAGGTGCTCAGCCCGAGATACTGAGTGGATATGAGGAGCCTAGGTCCTGGTACTCAGACTCAAGTGATTCTGGTCCCAGCATCTTCCCCCATCTCCTCCTTCCCCCTCTCCTTTCAGAGTAAGTTTGACAACCTCTATGGCTGCCGGGAGTCCCTCATTGATGGTATCAAACGGGCCACAGACGTGATGATTGCTGGCAAAGTGGCAGTTGTAGCAGGCTATGGTGACGTGGGCAAGGGCTGTGCCCAGGCCCTGAGGGGTTTTGGAGCTCGAGTCATCATTACTGAGATCGACCCCATCAACGCACTGCAGGCTGCCATGGAGGGTACGATAGGACAGGGGTTGCTGTCAGCCATTGGGGTCGGAGGAGGGGCAAGGCTACCCTAGATAACGCACAGTCACTGTCTGCACAGGCTATGAGGTCACCACGATGGATGAGGCCTGTCAGGAGGGCAATATCTTTGTCACCACCACAGGCTGTATTGACATCATCCTTGGCCGGTAGGTGAAAGTAGAGGTCCAGAGGAGCAAGGGAGGGGCAAGCTTGGGACTGCTCTTTGTCTCTGATGGTCTTCCACGGGCTTGGGCTCTGTCACAGGCACTTTGAGCAAATGAAGGATGATGCTGTCGTGTGTAACATTGGACATTTTGATGTGGAGATTGATGTCAAGTGGCTCAATGAGAATGCTGTGGAGAAGGTGAACATCAAGCCCCAGGTGAGACAATCACTCCTACCTTTTGGGTGGGCAGATGCAGGGCTCTGGGTTGGCCTGCTTGTGGGCTGCCCTTCAAAGTGGACAGATAAGGAGACCTTTGCAACCTGGGCAGTGGGATGGGGGAAGAGGGCTAGGTTTCAGAGCCAGACTTGAGGTGTCAAACTTTATCTCGAGGGCAGTAGAATCCCTGAAGGTATTAGGTAGGTGAGCTATACATGGTGAGGTTACTGTTTTTTTGTAAGTTAATTTTTTTGTGATAGGGAGTGCATTGCATGCATATGAGGGCCAGAGTTGCTGTTGTATAATGATCATTCTTGCTGCTGTGTGGAGAATGAAAACAATGATGTGAGAGGGTGATGAAGGGAGGCTTTTAGATGATGCTCTTATATGAAGAGACTTTTAAAAATGATGAAAATAGGGAATTAAAGAGTGAGTTTATCTGGTGCAAAAAATGTTGAAATCCATGTGTAGTTTTTAAAATAATACATATTTTCCCATAACTTCTTGAAGACCACCCTACCCCTCCAATAGTCCCAGCAAAGGGTGATGGCAGCCTCCATTTGGATAGTGCTGACGTGGACAAACTGGGTGTTGGGGTCATAATGGGGGAAGAATCAAGAAGGATGATGGGTTTCTAGCTTGAGCATGTGTGTGAAAAGTAGGCCCATTTACTGAGCTGGAGGAAAAACAGATTTGTAGTGTACTTTGAAAGATCAATTTTGGAACAGCCCCTGGCCTGGTGGTTAAAGCCGCCCATGTGGCTTAAGTCCTAAACCTGGTGGCTTGAAAAATATACCAGGCATATGTGTTGGCCCAAAATCCCGAAAGGAGGGAGAGATGGAGGAAGAAGAATTGCAGCATGACCATTTCCCATGGGGGGGTGGTGGTGGGTGTTTTCTCACTTTCCCTCTCTGGCTTGCTGGCAAGTGCATGTACCCTGTAGCAAAATTTAAAAAGAAAGAAAGAAAAAAAGTTTTTTTTGGAGTATGTAACATTTTATTTGGGGTTATATTTATTGTAGGTTTGTTTTTTTTTTCTCTTGAGTGTATAAGTATTTTGTTTCTGAGGACATTTCAGCTCTTTTGGGCAGTCCTCCCTAATAATGAATCCTTAGGAGATAATTGTCTATACAGAGATGTTAGTCACATTACTTTCTCTTTTTTTTAAAGAATTATTTAATTCTATTTGTTATTATTATTATCATTATTTTAATTTTATCAGACAGAGACAGAGAGAGAGAAAAAGGGAAGGCAAAAAAGCAAGCCGTCAGGTCTGGGACTCGAATCATAGTTGGCCATGTGGGAATCCAGCACCCTTAACCATCATGTTACATGCTGGCCCCAGTCACATTACTTTTAAAGGCAAAACTCCCACTTTTTTGTGGGGTGCTTTGAGTTGATGATGCCCATGCTGTCATCAAGATTTTGTACAGAAGCTATAGATAGAGTTGGCTACAGCCATGGCACCACCAATTTAGGGCCACACTATAGGCCCAGCCAGGGTCTCAGAGGCCCAGAGAGGCAGGCAGGTACTTCTGTGAACACACATCACACATCCACACACCTCACTACCCTTGAGCCCTTTGCCTGTGAGAAGTTCTTGGGTAGGTCCTGCACTAGCCTTGAGGGAGAAAGTGTCTCCATGGTTAGGGATAAAGTGTCTCTATCTGTCTGTGTAGGGGGTCTGACACTACAGCATAGGGTAGAGTGGACAGTCTTCTTTCGCACCCACACCCCTGAGCACCAGCCATTCTTCCATAAAGGCATCACAGTACTATGTTGGGGTGATGGCTTCCTCTTCCCTCAAGTTGTCCTCCATTGCTGGACTGTATCCTCACTCTTAGAATCCTCAACAGCCTTGTCATCTTTCTTCCCAACTTCATATCTTGTCTACCCTCTCAAGGGCTTGTGGGCTTAGGCCTTCTTGGACCACTCCCTGAACACTTTTCCTCAGCTTCTCCTGGTCATCTGTCGAAATGGTTCCTTTTGTTTGGAACAGAGCAAATGTCCTTTGCTTTGTCCTTCCTCTAAGTCCTAGCTGGTGAAAAGTAGGCCCATTTATTGAGCCTAAATGTCTTCTGTACCATAGGTCACTTCAGCTTTGTGATGAGCCCAGCTTAGAGGAAGGGACTGCCTTTTTAGCCAGCCCCTCAGCAGAGGCAGTGCCCACTGCTGTGCACAGACCTCCAGTGCAGCATGCGTCTCACTGCTCTTGAAATCACTGGCCACACTGTTGTTTCATGACAGGGTCCACGTTAATGTGTCCCCGCAAGGGGCTTGATTCAGGTGCTGGTCGGCAAATGTTCATTGAACGAAGGAAAGCTTGGTGAGCACCAGAGACCTTTTTCTTGGAGCTCTGCCAGGATTCTTTCAGTAGCCTGGAAACCTGGGCTTCTGAGGAAATGTCCAGGAAGCAGCATGAGGGAGGAAGAGTAGCAAGTGAAAAGATAGGAGTGAAGAGAAAATGGGTTCCGTGGGTGTAGACAGCTGAGAGAGAGAGGATTGGGGTCCCAGGACTGGGAATTTCCATTTCATGTTCATTCACTAAACCAGGAATTTTCAACCTTGGCAGAGTCACCTGGGAGCCACATTAACCACTTGAATAGTGATCTCCAGGACTGAGGCCAGGGCATCTCCATTTTTTAAAGTTCCCAGAGTGATTCAGTATGCAGCAAAAGTTGAGGCTGCATCCAGCGTTTAGTAAGCTTTACTAAGCTGCATTCAACTATTTTTTTTTTTTTAAGATATTTTTGCTAAGGGACCAGCAGTTAGCGTAAAGGCTATGTTGCTGGACTCCCATGTAGTTGACCACAGTTCGCGTCCCGGACCCAGTGGCTTAAAACTCATGCCAGGTGCGTGTGTGTACGTGCCCAAGATCCTGAGAGGAGAATGGAGGAGAAAGGATTGCTGCGTGGCCGTTCCCTCTGGGGGGTGATTTCTCACTTTCTATCTCTCTGTCTCGCTGTCTGGTGAGCGCACGTGCCCAATAGCAAACCCTCGCCCCCCCCCCAAAAAAAAAGAGATATTTTTGCTATAGGGCACACACACTTGCCAGAGAGACAGAAAGCGAGGAATCACACCCCCCCACCCCACTCCCCCCAGGGGGAATGGCCATGCTGCAATCCCTTTTCCTCCATTCTTCTCTCAGGATTTTGGGTGTGCATGCACATGCACCCAGCATGCATTTTAAGTCACTGGGTCTGGGACTCAAATTGCAGTAGGCTAAGCGAGAGTCCAGTGACATAACCATTATACCATCTGCTGGTCCCTTGCTACATTCAACTTTTTATGATGACTGAAATATATGTGTCCACAGACTATCCAGTCTCAAATGGTAGTCATTTCTTAGTGTGTGGCTTTTAATAAGTGGTTCTACCTTATGAACTTGAATTTTATGTATCTGCAAAATGGGGGTGATAGTAGCACTTAAATTAGAGTTCTTTAGGATTATGAGTTAGATGTAGAGGACTTAGTACAGGGATCGTGGCAATAATGATAACATTATTAGTTGCTACTTGCTGAATACCTAGTGTGTGAGTACATGTGTCAGTCCATAAATTCTCAGAATAGACCTTTGAGGTCTGCTGCTTAATTATTCAGTAGATTTTGGCTATTATTAATTGTGCGTGCCAGGCTGCTGTGCTAGAGGATATTCTGGGGCAGTCTAGTCCTCTGAGGCACTGCTGGGGGGCAGCAAGACCTGTTGGACTAAGGGTGGGATGAAGCAGGGGTGGCTGTAGTAGCTGTGTCCTGCCAGTCTTCACTGCTACTCTGTTTGCTTGCAGGTGGACCGCTACCGGCTGAAGAATGGGCGCCATGTCATCCTGCTAGCCGAGGGCCGGCTGGTCAACCTTGGTTGTGCCATGGGCCACCCCAGCTTTGTGATGAGCAACTCCTTCACCAACCAGGTGCTGGCACAGATTGAGCTATGGACCCACCCAGACAAGTACCCTGTTGGAGTTCACTTCCTGCCCAAGAAGGTGGGTTCTCACTTTCACCTCAAGGCTGTAGTCCTGTGTTCAACCTTACGCTCCTCCCATAAGGCTTGCCAGAATTTATAAAGTGCTTGCATGTCTGCTCTCTTAGAGGTCCTTATAGGATCTTCATAGCACAATCATTCCCTCCATTTGACAGAGAGGAAACTGAGGCCGAAGAGGGGAATGATTTCTGGAACACAACCAGAGGGGCAGGACTGGGTGGTGAGAGGAGCATGGAGTGAGACACACCCAGGTTTGAATCTCAGCCTCACCACTTAGAGGAACTAGGGCAAGTTACTTAACTTCTTTGTCTCTGTGTCCTCATCTGTGGAGTGCAGTAGTACCTTCCTTAAAGATTGGCGGGATTCTCCTTAGGTTGGGACCCAGACTGGATGGGAAATGAAAAGCTGAAAAGCACATCCTTCAGATAAAGGGGTGGCTGCCTCTCGGTTGTCATCACCCCAGAACCTAGGTCCATTGGACTGTGGCTTCTGACCTTTCAAGAGAAGCCAGATACCAAGATCTTTGTATGAAGTTACCAGTTTTTAAATATGGAAACTCAGTGTAGTATTTAAAGATTTACAGATTCACAGGTTTGTGACTTTGGACTGAAATGATGCACCATTGAGGATGGCACCTGACATACCCTATGTGTGGGTAGTCGGGGGTAGCCATGACAGTGAGACCCTCTGACATCAAATCCAGTGCTAATCCAAACATCCCCTGCACAAACGCCAGTTAACAACCATGATAGCACAGCCACCATTTATTAAAGTACCTGCTTACACTGACCACTCTGAACATTACTGATTTTAGTAATAGCCATGGGAGGTAAATGGTTGTGACAGCAATCATACAAATAAGGAAACTAAGGTTTAGAGATGCACTTGTGCTCACAGCTGTTATGTGTCCAAGCTGTTAACCATTCTGATGTTTTGCCTTCTGGTGCAGGGTGCTAGAAAAAGGAAAGGTATCATGGGCTAGGTCAGGCCAACCAAAGGGATGATCCAATGTAAACTTTGGGAGTTGGAGGCCTTCATTCTGCCTGTAGAATTGACATGGACTTGGGATGAGGTCTGGTTCTCTCTTTGCCTGCCTCTTGCCTAAGTACATTATCATTTACTCTAGGCTCCAATTTCTTTATACAAGGATAAACTCTGTTCCTCCTACTTCTTTGTTTGTTTGTTTCTTTCTTTCTTTCTTTCAAGAATTATTTTATCTAACTTCATTTATTTATTTAAATTTAATTTGACCAGAGAGCGAGAGGGAGAAAGCGAGAAAGCAAGCTGCCAGGTCTGGGACTGAAACCATTGTTGGCCTTATGGGAGTCCAGCACCCTCAACCACCACGCCACCTGCCAACTCCTCCTCCTACTTCTTAGAGGAGTTTTGGAGGCTATGAGATAACCAATGTGAAACCACTGGGGATTGTAAGAGCATGCTGGACCAGGCTATGATCAAAGGCTGTCATAACATGGGTTGGGGCATGAAACCTTAGGAGTACGAAGAGGCCTCCATCCCCACCTCCTCCCCATCCAGATCTAGAGTGAGAAAGTGAAAGCCACACTGAGTGACTGAGTTGATCACTTCTCTAAGTATAACGTCTTGGCCTTTTTTTGTTTTTTAATTATTTTTAAAAATTATTTATTATTATTTAATTTGACCAGAGAGAGGGAGGATAAGTGAAAAAGCAAACCACCAGGTCTGGAACTCAAACTGTAGCCTGGCCATTTGGGAGTCCAGTACCCCAACCACCATGCCACCTGCCAGCCCTATCTTTGCCTTTTATTTAGGCTCCTTTTAGGTGTTTTAGCACTGGTCAGAATTAAGAGGTTTGCCTTGTCTAACCCTGGTATCTGTCCTTGGTTTCTGTTCGATCTCTTCAAAGCTGTTCTGGAGGTCATAAGCTGGGATGCTTGAGAAGTTTTGGGGCTTTGGAGCCAGATGGGCCTGGGTTCAAATCCTAGCTCTGTCATTCACTAGCTGTGTGACCTTGGGCAAGTCATCCCATGTTCCTAAGCATTGACTTCCTTGTTTATAAAAGGAAGATGGCAGTTTATTAGTCAGGATCCTTTTGGTGGCAAGTGGCAGAAAACCTGTTCAAACCAGTGTCTTAATTATCTGTCGCTGAATAACAATTCAGTTCTGGTATTTACTAGTTTAAAACAATAATTTATTATCTCAGTTTCTGTGGGTCAGGAATTTGAGCTCAGCTTATATCGTAAATGGTTCTGACTCAAGGTCTTTCATGAGGTTGCATCCAAATTTCTGCCAGAGTTACAATCATCTGAAGCTGGAAGATCTATTTTATATCACTGTTGACTGTGATCTCAGTTTCTCACCCAGTGGCCTCTCCATAGGGCTGCTTAGGTGTTGCCATGAGATGGCAGCTGGCTTCTCTATCCAGGAGAGAGAGCAAGGGGTCTGCAGTGCCTTTTATGACCTTTTCTCCTAAATCACACACTGTCACTTCTGCTTTATTTCTAGTTTTCAGAAGTGAGTCACTCAAGGGCTGGGGAATTAGACTCTACCTCTTGTAGGAAGGAGTATCAAAGAATTGTGGATATATTTTAATTAAAAAAGGAGTCCATGTAATCAGAAAAGCAACTCTTTTGGCTATATGACAGAGAAGTGTAGGATTCAGAAACTAGATCATTGATTTCATGTCATCACAGCTCTTTCTTGAACTCTAGGCTCTTTTTTACCCATCTATTATTTTTACCTGTCAAGTAGACTTGCCACTGATGATCTGGGACCAATACCCTCCCTGCTTAGAAATCCTAGTGCAATTAGAGCATCCCTATCTCCATCTATCATGGAAGATATGTCTTGTCCATAGGTAAATCCTAGAGAAGGATTTTGATCAGCTGCTAGGATCGGTGGAGGATGAGTAAAAAGATGTAACCGATGGGCCCACCAGTGCTCTATGGATGGGAGGACATAGCATGGTTCCCTCATGAGGAACCATGTGGTTAGCCAAAAAGCACATCCACTGAGGCTGTGAGGACAAAATGAGGTAATCTGGGTAACATACATGGCAAATAGCCCAGCAGAACAATTCGTTCCTTATTGGCGGCTGGATGCAGATAAGTCATCCCAGAGCACAGTACTGATTCCAGGTTTTTTGTTTCTCCCCAGCTGGACGAGGCAGTGGCTGAAGCCCACCTGGGCAAGTTGAACGTGAAGCTGACAAAGCTGACTGAGAAGCAGTCCAAGTACCTGGGCATGCCTCGTGAGGGCCCATTCAAGCCTGATCACTACCGCTACTGAGAGTCATGCCTGCCCTCACCTTTCAGCTGCTGTCCTTACCCAGGCCTCACTTCCCAAGAGCAAATGGCACCAACTTTGTGATTGATTGGTTTGTCAGTGTCACCCATCAACTCCCTGGGGCTGGTCACTCAGTCTTTGGCCTCTGCTGTGTCCCTCATACTGTTTCAAGTGTGGCAGAGGAATTCAGAAGCCCCTCATCAAGCTGTGGTCGTGGAGGTACAAGACATCCACAAGTACTGTGAGCTTAGGGGTGTTGGAACTTCTCAGTCAGTTAGACCTTCCTTAGGTTGGGAGTTGGTAGTGGTGGCCACAAAGTCCAGGTGCATTACCACTAGGCCTTGACTATAGCTGCAGACTTAGGCCTGTGAGCTTGGTTTACAAATTCACTGGTTCCTCAGCCCATATCAGAAGAGAAGGAGCTTTATTGAAGGGCAAGGAGGAATTGTTGGAGTTTGAATGTTCCTCAGAGCCTGGCTTAGTGGCAGACCTTCTCTTAAGACTCAGAATAATAGGTTGGTACTTTTGGTCCCTATTTTACAGGGGTTAGAGTAGACTGTTAAAGGATAGCCAAGAAAGGATAAGAAAGGGACAGCCAGAGTCTGAGAAGGGCCCGAAAAACAGAAAAGTGGACATAGATCTGCCACCACTTTGTAACATGATGGTTCCTATCACAACTTTGGGTCAAAAGAGATTAATTTGGTTTATAATGTTAATATAATGTTTATAATGTTGAAAAGAAGCAAGAAGGTGGGTAAATAAAAATTTTGGTGCCTAAAAGAATTTTGAGCCTTTATTATTTAGTTAATCCTCTGATAACAGTGCAGGAGTATATGTACTCATGTTCAATGAAGCACTGAGAAAATGGGGTTGGCTGTAATATGGCAACCCCTGAAGCTTGGAAGGATGGATAAAATAAGAAACTCTTATTTCTTCAGGTATGTCTCTTGTAAATAACCTGTTTTTAACTCTGTATGAGACTGTTCTTTAATAGGTGAATTTAACTCACTTATAACTATTGTAATCCTTGTTTGTATTTATTTATTTAATTTTATTTATTCATTCACTTATTTTAATTTGACCAGAGAGAGACACAGGGGTGGGGGGAGTGAGAAAGTAAGCCACCAGATCTGGGACTTGAACCGTGGTGAGCCATGTTGGAGTGTCCAGCGCTTTAACCACCATGCCCCCTACTGGCCCCTATTTCCTTTTTTAAATGTGTTTCTATTCATACCCACCCTCCTTTTCACTTTTCTTTGGATTGATCCAGTGTGCATTGGAAGGACTATTACTTATTGAGCACTTACTGGGTACAGGGGCTCTGTTAGTTGATTTATCTTATTCTCACAACAATCTTGGCCTATTCTTTTTTTTTTTTTTTTTTTGAGAGAGCGGTTTTTGCTATAGGGCGCGTGCGCTCTCCAGACAGACAGAGAGAGACAGAAGGTGAGAAATCACCCCCCAGGGGGGGATGGCTACACCGCAATCCCTTCTCCTCCATTCTCCTCTTGGGATCTTGGGTACTCACGCACACGTCCCCGGCATGAGCTTAAGCTACCGGGTCCAGGACTCGAACCGCAGTTGACTACGTGGGAGTCCAGCGACATAGCCATTACGCTAACTGCTGGTTCCTTGGCCTATTCATTTTTAAAAATTTAATATCATTATTATTTTTAAAAATGTGATCAGAAAGAGAGAAATGGAAAGCAGGAAAGTAAGCTGCCAGATCTGGGACTTAAACCATGTCAGCCATATGGGAGCCCAGTTCCTTAACCACCATGCCACCTGTTGGCCCCTTAGCATCTTAATTTTGCAGATAAGAATGGAGATAATGGAGGTAGCTTTTTATTTGAGAGAGGTTTTTGTTCTAGGGCTTACGTGCTCATCAGAGAGACAAAGACAGGGAGCCAGAATGTGAGAAATCACCCCCCCGGGGGGATGGTCATGCCACAGTCCCTTCTCTTCTCAGGATTTTGGGCATGCACACACACACACACACACACACACAACGCCCAGTGCAAGTTTCAAGCTGCTTAGTCTGGGACTTGAACCACAGTTGCCTACATGGGAATCCAGCACCTTAACCACCATGTCACCTGCTGGCCTGAGATGGCATTTCTTTCAAGAATCATTTAATTATTCATTCATTCATTCATTTATTTATTCATTCATCCATTTATTTTAATTTGACTAGAGAAAGACAGAGAGAGAGAGGGAAAGTGAGAAAGCGAGCCACCAGGTCCAGGATTCGAATCGTGGTCATCCCTGTGGGAGTATCCAGAGCCTTAACCACCACACAGCCTACTGGCCCCCAGAGGTGGCATTTCTAAAGTCACACAAATGGCCGCCTTATTCAAATCATAGGAGGGTGGGTGGGAAGTTGGGCTCCCTCCTTTTTACTTAAGGGTTTACCAAATCCCTGTATTAGTCTTAGAAATTAGAGAAAAATAAGAACTTGGGAAGAGTAACTGACGAGTGTTCTAAGGGCCATCCACTAAATGAAAGGTATGATGGTGATGCTGGGATGTTGGAGAACTGACCCCAGGTATCTGGGATCTCAAGCTAGGAGAAGGCAGATGTGTAAACAGCTTCATCTAGCACTTCCCTTTTTCTACCAGTTTTAGAATTCAGTGACTGGCAGCAGTAGGAGTAAAGCATCAGGGAAGAAGCGCTTGAACTGAATTTTTAAAGAACAGATTTATTTAAAACAGAAGTAGAAGGCAAGGGCATTCCAGGTAGAACAGCTTGAGTGAGTGAGGGCATGTGGAAGATTTACTTGGTTATAATGTAGGGAGAGCTATGAGATAGAGTGCTACACAAGACAACTAGCAGTCAGGAGAGGTCTTGGATACTCTGATGTCGTTTTAATCCTTGAACACCATAGACCCCTGGAATGTCCCCCACTTAACTGAATATCCTACACCTGTGGCTTGTTTATTTTATATTTAAGTCTTTGGTTTGAAGTGGTATTACGTCATGTTACTAAGGGGAAGGAGGCTCACAGAGGCCGAGTGGGACAAGTGGGGATAGTTTTTATGAAGACTGGAGACAACTCCAAGGTGTGTACTGCTCAAGAGAAGCTGGATCCTGTTTTTTCCAGGTGCCCTCGTGAGAGTGACATTGTCTTTAAACCCTGCTTGGCAGTCCCTGGTGCACCACTATGATGCCCAGAGAGGTCAGGGTGACCTGGAAAACTAACTACTTAAGATCATCCAATTTTTGGATAATTATTCAAAGTGCTTCACTGTGAGCACAGACAATGCAGGCTCCAAGCAGATGCAGCAGATCCACATGTCACTCCACAGGAATGCTGTGGTGCTGACGGGTAAGAACATCATGATAATGCAAGGCCATTGGGGGCATCTGGGGGAATGAGGTCCAAGGAGGACCTCATTGGAATCAGGTACATGTTGCTGGCTAATAAGGTGCCAGCTACTGCCCATGCTGGTGCCACTGTGCCTTGTGATATCACTGTGCCAGCCCAGAACAGTGATCTGGGGCCTGAGAAGACCTTTTAGGCTTTAGGCATTACCACTAAGATTTCCAAGAGCACCAGTGAAATTCTGAGCAACATGCAGCTGATAAAGACTAGAGGCAAAGTGGGAGCCAGTGAAGTCATACTGTTGAACATGCTGAATATCTCCCCCTTCTTCAGGCTGGTTATCCAGCAGGTGTTTGACAATGGCAGCATCTCCAACCCTGAATTGCTTGACATCACAGAGGAAACTGCATTCTTACTTCCTGGAGGGTGCCCACATGTTGCCAGTGTGTGCCTGCTGATTGGTTACCCAACTGTTGCATTAGTGCCCCATTCTACCATCAGTGGGTCCTGGCTTTGTCTGCGGAGACTGACTATACCTTCCCGCTTGCTGAGAAAGTCAAAGCCTTCTGGTCTGATCCATTTGCATTTGTGGCTGCTGTCCTTTGGCCACTGCCACCACTGCTGCTCCTATTGCTGCCATGGCCACACCCAAGGTTGAAGCCAGGGAAGAGGAGTCAGATGAGGATATGGGATTTGGTCTTTTTGACTGAACATTGAAAAACAACTCAGTCAGCTTTATTTGTGAAAAGGGAAATAAAGACTTCTCTTAAAAGTTTTTTTTTTAAAAAAAAAAAAGGAAGGAAGTTGGATCCCAGATTATGACCATAGTCTGAATCATCAGCCCAGTTTGCCTAAAATACACCAGGCATAGATGGAGTTGCCCTAGATCCAAAGGAATGGAGGGAGGAAATGCATGATCAGACCTTGTGGTGGGTGCTCATCTCTTATATGTACAAGCTCTGCCATGAATAAAGAAAGTTACAAAAAGTAAAAATGAAGACTGCTTTACTTGAGGTATGGTGTTCTGACAGAAGGTAGGGGCTGGTGTTGGGGCTCTCTTTAGTAATTCTTTCCTCTTCAGAGCTGAATTACAAGTAGGAAGGTGAATAAACCAGGGAACATGAAGTACTAGAGGTTGGGGCTAACAGTTTCTCAGATGAATCTTTCCAGCTGTAAGTCAATAACCTCATGCTTGGGACTCCCTTGTCTGTACCTAGCATTGCAGCCCCACCTCTTTCATTTTTGCAAATGCATTTGAGTGACATAAAGGTCTGCTATATATTTTTAAGTGCGCCAAGTGGGAATTCACATTTCTGAAGAACATGGTGTCAGTAAAACTCTCCAGCTGTACTGGGGCCCACAGTCAGAGGCAAGAGGGGTTGTAAACTGGTCTTTAGTGCTTATTAGGGGCCTCTGCCATTAGACAAGTCTCACCATTTTTCCTTCAACTTTCATTGAAGTTGCCTAAGTTATATGCATATATGCAACTCTCATATATATAACTCTACTGTAAACAATTTACAGACTTTGGTACTGTTTTTTCAGTGTTTTCTATAGCACGTGTGTGCTTGCAGAGGGTTGGGGGATGGGGGGAGAGAGAGAGAGAGATCACCCCTCAGAGGTGATTCACCACAATCCCTTCCTCCATTCTCCTCTTGGGATCTTGGGCACACATGCACATGTGCCAATGTGTTTTTCAAACCACCTGGTAGGGACTCTGTCAGTCGGCCATGTGGGATCCAGCCATGTTAACTTCCATGTCACCAGCTGGCCTGGTACTTCAACTTTTATTTTTTTAATTATTTTATTTAACTTTATTTACTTATTTTTTTATTTGACCAGAGAGGGACAGAGATAGAAATAAAGAAAGAAAGCTGTCCAGTCTGGGCCCTGAACCATGGTCAGTCATGTGGGAGTCCAGCGCCCCTAACCATCATGACACCTGCTGGTCCCCGGTACTTCAACTTTTAATACCAAATGACACAGGACTCACTTCTCAACTGATCATGACACCACTAGTCAAAACAGACCAAGATCTACTACTACACCTGCTGTGTTTTTCTTGCACACTATTGTGTGCCAAGTAAGTGCTTTTTAGTATGGTCTTATTCATTCCTAAGATAGCTTTTGGTGGGGACCAGCAGGTGGCGTGGTATTAAGGTGCTGGATTCCTACATGGCCTACTGCAGTTCAAGTCCTGGACCTCGTGGCTTGCTTTCTCATTTTCTCTGTTCAAATTAAAATTAATAAATAAAATAAATAAGTCTTTTTTTTTTTTTTTTTAAAAAGATGGCTTTGGAGAGGGGCCAGCAGGTGGTGTGGTCATTAAGATGTTGGATTCCCACATGGCTGGCCACTTGTTCAGGTCCTGGATCCAATCGACTTAAAAATAATGCCAGGCATGTATATGTATGTGCCCAAACTCCCAAGAGGAGAATGGAGGAGAAGGGATTGTAATGTG